AGCCAAGTGTAAGCATCCTACTGGTTGTCTAAGTGAATGGCTGAGATCACCTTGTGATGTAAGGGATCCCGCTACTATGCCTAACGGATATATTCCTCACACACCAAGTGTGTGAGGTTGTAAGAAGAAATTGGTATGAACATTCCTCTACTACACGTATAGCAGAGAAGTTTTGTCAATCTTTCTCTTCTTCTTTCTTCTCTCCTTCGTCACTCTACGTTCACACACTGCAAACCGACCTGGGGATGGGAGGATCAGGGAAGACAACTCTAGTCCGGCCGGTACGGGACCCAAAATGACCAGCACATCCCCGCCGTCGAGTCTTGGCCCGAGATTCTGAGATTTTCCGGCGATGCGATATCGCTTTGGACACCCACACACTGCCAGCGCGTGTGGCGGCTCGTGGGCACTATATCAGAGGGGCATTTTGTCCCAATGTGATCTCCTAGTAGTCACGAGCGCGTAGGAATTCGCGGATCTCAATTCGGATAACGTTTGAACCCCGAACGGATTTTACATATCGTGTGTTATCCGGGTTCGATATGTTAGAACCGTTGGATCACTTCCAAATTAATATATGTTGATCTAGGTATTCCTAGGATCGTGTAGGATTCGACGGATCGTGAATCGGAGCCCCAGATGTTCCGATTCAATAACTTGAAGTTTGTGTTTTACGATAACCGTCCGATCGTGCGATCGTGAGCGATCAGACCGTTCGATCTGGACCAAACTTGTAAGACATGTTTCCTAAACCTTGACGAATCCATAGGAATGTTTGGATCGTAAAACGGAGGTCGTGGGGCCCGCGGGCCCGGTTGACCAAATTGGAAGGTTTGACCCTCGGTTGACCGTAAGTCTTCCGAGGTAGTTTACTCTTCGAAGAGTACTAGAACGACCATTTCGGACGGGTCTTGACCGTCATTTGATTTATGTTGAGTATGTGGGTCTAAGAGATTATTTTTAGGATTTTGTGATGGAAAGTTTATGCATATTGTTTTAATGGTTTGTTATGAGATTTATATTTATATTTATAAGTAGATTGTTAATCTGTGAGTAATCCTATTATTGTTAATATTCGAGTTTCTTGAAGTTTTATATAATATTTGAGAAAGTACTATCCTTGTTGATTTTGTGTGGGGTACTTAGAATGTTAATTTGAATGCTATTAGCACTACCTTAGGTACCTCCCCGGTTATGGGTTTTATGTTTGAGAGTTCATTTTGCCCAGGCCCGTCGGAGTTTGCCCAGGCCCTTTGGAGATTGATTTATCTTGCCTAGGCCCGTCGGAGTTTGTCCAGGCCCTTCGGAGATTGATTTATTTTGCCTAGGCCCGTCGGAGTTTGTCCAAGCCTTTCAGATGATTTATTTTGCCCAGGCCCGTTGGAGTTTGTCCAGGCCCTTCGGATGTCTTCTTAATACGATGCCTTGGGAAAAATTGAATTAAGGAAGGAAATATCATTTTAAAATATGATTAAAAGGGTTACGAACTCCACCATCATACGTACCTTCCCTGGTTACTATTTACACACGTGCCGTGTTTCGGGCGTGTGGGCTTTCTTGGTCACGGATCCTGGAATTGTGGGACGCCGGAAAAATTGTGAATATGGTTTGAATATGTTGGCACTCGGACGCCCTTGATCAGGGGTTCAAGGACCCTTAACAGGGTAGTCTGCGCTCGTAGGACTGTTTACAGACGTACGGGTCTTGATTCTTCGTCCGTACGTGCTGGCTGAGAGTTAGTCCCCCAGTTGGACGGCTCGTCCCTAGCCACATGTCGTTTGAGGGCTATTAAATGTGGACTAGTCAGACGATCCCCGGTTGGATTGTTTTCCCCAGTACATGATGTGCAACATCACATGTACCTCCCCTTGGATACTAATACATGGATATGATGGATATGGTCTGGATATGACGGAACCTGGGGCATCCTTGACGGGATGTTGTTGTAGACCCTTGATTGGGTAGTCTGCGCGCGTAGGACTGTTTACAGACGTACGGGTCTTGATTCTTCGTCCGTACGTGCTTGCTGAGAGTTAGTCCCCCAGTTGGACGGCTCGTCCCTAGCCACATGTCGTTTGAGGGCTGTTAAATGTGGACTAGTCAAACGATCCCCTGTTGGATTGTTTTCCCCTGGTACATGATGATGATGAGAGGTGGGTATTATTATATATACATATATACTCATTTTTAGGCATACATGTTACATTTGGTATATGTGCTTTTGATTCTGGATTTGAGATTCGTGAGTTTGTACTTTGTGAGTACCCTGTACATGTATGAACGTATAAGCCCTGGATTTGGGCAGTGTTGTTTGGCACCATACGCCTTGGATAGGGTATGGTCGTGGGGTTTGAACTGATATAAAGAAAGATTGAGAATGTGTTCATTGTATTTTGTCAGAATTTGAGTTGTGATAAATCTGAAATGTATCGTTGGTCCTGATTTAAATAATTGTTTATTATCGGAGTTGTGACCGTTGGGATGAGAACTACGTGTGGCTTGATCCCTTGTCCAAGGGTACGTAGGCAGGCTGGGGCTTTTAAATAATTGTTTATTATCGGAGTTGTGACAGTTGAGATGAGAACTACGTGTGGCTTGATCCCTTGTCCAAGGGTACGTAGGCAGCCTGGGGTCTCACCTAGGTGCAGCCGCGAAATATTATTGTGTTTAAAAGGTTTGATCGATTCTGTGTATGTGATTGGATTCTGATGTGGTTATTGAATTTGAATCATGTTTGATGCTTTCGATGTTAATTGTAAAGTTGTTTGAGACCATTAATTGTTTGGTTTGTGTACTGTTCGAATTAAGAGCATTGCTGGTTCCGTTTTGAATTATTTGAAGGCTGGAGGCCTATTTTGTGTTTGCATGTTGATAACTTGTGCATGCTGCCAGTTGGGTTATAAATTGTGTTTAAATTTTCAGGTTGAAATTTTGGGAAAAGTCAAATTTACAAGGGAGACTCTGCCGAAATTTCGGCAGAAAGTCTCGGGTTTTAGTAAGTGGGCCCGGCATTGGTGTGATGCCGGAATTTCCACAGAATTCGTCTCGGGTTCCGAGGAATTTCGGGGCGAGTCCTGTCACTAGTTCGATCGCTTTGGGCATAAGGGCCGACTCAAGCGCCGTGTTCGATCAACTATGGGCGCATGGGCCGATTCTAAGGAAGCAAGGTACGTGCTATCAATATTGAATTCAAAGTTTCAAGAAATCTAGAGAAGGAGAAGGAGGTCTAGAGAAAGTTCTAGAGGAGGAGATAGTGAAAATAAAAGAGAGATGACATGAGAGGAAAAACTTTCCTCCATGTGGGGTGTGCAAAAAAAAAAAAAAAACCCAAATGTTGAAACTAAAAATTGGGCGTTGAGAAGAGAAAAATATTGCTTGCAAAGAACTATCAAGGTAACTATGAGCAAAGAATGTGCCACAAGAGCACGAAGCTGCATCATCAACAAGAGCTTCATCAATACCAGCTAGCTTCAGAAGGAGCATGCTTGGAGAAACACAAATATGCATTAAGGAGGAGTGTTGAAATTAATGCACATTTGTGCTAAAGAAATGTGTGGAAAAATCTAGAAGTTTTGAGAAGAGCCTAAACTATTCTAGAAGCTTGGTGGGAAGTCAACAACTACATGCAACTATGAAGATTATTCTAGAAAGCCACACTTGTTGAGTAAAGAGAGTTGAAGTTGGAAGAACTTTCTAGAACAAGAACATCATGTTGCATCATGGCTAAACAATAGCCACAAAAATAAATATTGTAAAATATAGAAGTTTCTAGTAAAAGCCACATACTTGGTGATGTAGGCAAAGATGCCTATAAATAGGCATGCAACCACAATGAAATGTGGAGTGAACCAATCAACTCCCAATCCATGTGGGAGTCTAAAGAAGCAAACTCCCAAACTATAAAGGGAGCCAAGAGCTACCCAAATTAAACTATGTTGATGAGTCAATAAGCTCACCCATCAAAGTGTAAGGGTCAAATAGCCCAAACTAATCTAAATCAAGTACAGTGGCCAATAAACCAAAATAAGCTAAGGAGGCCAATTAGCCTACACTAAGCTATGTACTATTCTCCTCTAATCTAATAAAATCACTTTGTTTCCCCTAAATTCCAACAGAATGCAATGAGTTATAGAGAATTGCTAGAGATGATGGTGAGCTATTTGGAGTCCAAAAGGTACCTAGTTGTATTGGATGATGTGTGGGATGTGCACCTTTAGAGAGACTTCAGGATATCATTTCAAGATAAACAGATTGGAAGCCGCATCATACTTACAACTCGTAGAGTAGACATAGCATTCTATTCTTTTGGATTTGAAAGTAATGTTTACCGTATTCCGCACTTGGAAAATAATGAGGCCGAGGAGCTGTTCAGCAAGAAAGCATTCTCAAGTTACCATAATAAATGTTGCCCACCAGAGTTGCCCACCAGTTCTTCAATCATTAGCTAAGGAACTTGTGGGTAAGTGTCAAGGCCTACCTCTGGCAATTGTTGCATTAGGTGGTCTTATGTCCTCCAAGAAGTCACCTTTAGAATGGAGTAAAGTCTACGACAGCTTAAACTGGCATCTAACTAACAATCCTTTGCTTGAATCTGTGAAGTGCATCTTGTTGCTTAGTTTCAATGATTTGTCATACCAGTTGATGCATTGTTTTCTATATTGTTCCCTTTTCCCAGAGGATTACTTGATGGGGAAAAATAGGCTCATTAAACTGTGGATAGCTTAAGGATTTGTTGAACATGTCAGAGGGGTTACACCAGAAGCAGTTGCAGAGAGCTATCTTATGGAACTTATTTTTCGAAACATGCTACAAGTTGTAAGGAGGAATGAAAATGGAAGGCCAAAAGCATGCAAGATGCATGATCTTATGCGGGAGCTTGCTCTCTCAACATCAAAAAAAGTGAACTTTTCTGTTGTGTATGATGGGAAAGAAGGGAAGAAATTGGAGCCCGTCGTTTGTCAATTCAAAAAACAGAAGGATAAATTATATCACTCACAGGCATGTCAAAGCTTCGTACTTTCTTTTTCTTTCTCACTGGCACATTCTCATTGTCTTTCTCGAAGGCATTTCTTTCTGGACTCAAATTGTTGAGGGTTCTAGATTTGGAGAAAGTCCCAATTACAAAATTGCCAGATGAAGCAGTGTACTTATTCAACTTAAGATATTTAAATTTGAGGAGAACTCCAATTAAGGAGCTTCCCAAATCCATAGGAAGGCTCCGCAATCTTCAAACCTTGGACATTAAGGATACAAACATAGAGGCACTTCCAAGAGGAATTTCCAAGTTGATTAACCTACGCCATCTAATTATGTATCGTTACACTGGAGTACATAGGGGCTTCAGATATATTAATGAGACAAAAGCACCATCAAATGTTTGTAAGTTGAAGAAATTACAAGTTTTGGCATGTGTTGAATCAGAAGGTAACATTGTTAGACTTGTCAGGAATATGACCCAACTTACTAGGATCGGGATTACAAATGTGAAAGAAAGAGACGAAACAGATCTACGTGTCTCAATTCAGAAGATGAAGCTCCTCAGCTTCTTGTCTTTAATAGTATCTGATGAAGAGGAATTTCTTCGAATCAATGCGCTACCTTCACCTCCATCCTCACCTTCAAAATCTTACCTTGGCTGGCAAACTGGAACTGGTTCCACCTTGGTTTTGTTTACTTCATAGCCTCACATATATGAATCTACATTGGTCTAGACTTGAAGAAGTAGTCTAGGATTTGTTTCATGAAAGATTCATATATGTGAGGCTTAAATTATGCAAGTCTTGTGCAAAGATAAAAGAAATTACCTTCTTGCATGCAGAAGAACTAGTCTAGGGCTTGGTTTTGTTTACTTCATAGCCTCACATATATGAATCTACATTGGTCTAGACTTGAAGAAGTAGTCTAGGATTTGTTTCATGAAAGATTCATATATGTGAGGCTATGAAGTAAACCAAACCAAGCCCTAGACTAGTTCTTCTGCATGCAAGAAGGTAATTTCTTTTATCTTTGCACAAGACTTGCATAATTTAAACTGTAATACTAGTACCAAGTTTTTCCTATCTAACTAGTTTCGACAGTCATAATATATGCATTGATTTCTTTTCGGTACAAATATTCATTGAATTTTATTTCATTACCATATATTTTTCTTGTTATATATTTTGTAGAATCAAGTCCAAGAACTTAAGATGGAGTTTACCCAGATTTCCCCAAGAAGAACCCGTTCTTGTGTGAAGCTGCAAAGGTTCATCTTATTTCTTATTTTCTTGTTAAATGAAATTTTACCAAGATTCTGTTCAGAAGTTGCATTTGATATTGTTTGCGTATATTTGCATGTATTAATGTTAAAGAATGTCTGGTTAGTATCCGTCGCTGGAAGATTAGTCTCTTAAATTTGGATCACGGATTCTTCTATGTTCTGTGTGTTGTTTGTAATTTATGTCTCATGGACTCAAATAGACTAAAATACGGGTGTTCAAGATATTGAAAAAAAGAAAATAGTTTTCAATATATCCTCTCTTGTGCCCTTATTTACCTGATTATAATTAGTTTAACCAGCTTTAGATGATTAATATTGAAGATTGAATGTCACTTTAGTAGCAATTGATCAAAGATCAGTCTGTCAGATTTGAGCCATGGATTCTTTTGTGTTTCATTTGTTGTTTGGACAGTCAGCCTGGCGTAACACTTGAAGTATCTGAACTGTTTTTCATCACTGCCGCAAGTTGTATTTGATACCACCAAAAAATGATTAGTAGTGAGTTTTGCTTTCACCATTGAGTGTCAATAAGTGCATTCTTTCCTGATGGCTTGTCAAAGTGAGGATGGTCCACAAGTTGAAGCAATTTCTTGTTTTGTCCAGGGCGGTACATCAAGAACTCTGTTCAGTAATGATAGCAGTTGGAAGAACTTAACCTCAAGAACTGTGTGCATCTTTAACCTCTTCAAAGAGCACCACAATATCGAAAGGCAAAGTTCGGTAGGTACAGAAATAAACAAGGAAAAATAAGGAGAAAGAGACATAAGAGTTATAGTGGTTCAGCCACTTGATGTAGCCTACGTCCACTTGAAAGAGAGTTGTTTGCTCTTATTCATCATATGCAAAACTCTCTTAGTATGCAGTCCCAAGAAGACTGTTCCAATTCCAATGTAGTGGCACAGTTGAGAACCTTGGTCTAACGGTAATATTGGTGAGCTATATAGTGGTTCAGCCACTTGATGTAGCCTACGTCCACTTGAAAGAGAGTTGTTTGCTCTTATTCATCATATGCAAAACTCTCTTAGTATGCAGTCCCAAGAAGACTGTTCCAATTCCAATGTAGTGGCACAGTTGAGAACCTTGGTCTAACGGTAATATTGGTGAGCATTAATATGGGCAATTATTCCAACAGTAGGTCTTGCATAATTAATTCATAACACTAGCCTAGAATTGGTTTCTAACTTTGCCCATCCTCAGAAGTTTCAATTCATTTACTGTTATTTTCAATTCAGCACCTCAAACCAACCAAGTAAAGAATTCATATGTGTTTTTAGTTTTTGCCCCAAGTTGAATAACTGAAATTTATATATACAAGCAAATGTTTAGCTCATAAAGATGTTTTTACCAAGAAAGTGAAGGAAGCAATATGTGAGTTTGAGTAAGTCATTTCGAGAGGAAATTAGATACCGATTACACAAGTCGTTACGAGGAAGAAGTACAAAGATCAACAATATTTAAGAGAGATACATAGGCATTATCCTACCGTCCCAAAATTATGATTGCTAATTCATCCTGTCCAAAAATTAATCTACTCTCTGATCTTTACAACATACTGTACCGCAGACTAAGTCAAAAGAAATCTACATAGATATAATTTTGTTCATAAGCACCTCATCAGACCAGCATATCTCCAATTTGATAACTGATTTCAAAGCGGTGCATGGTTCCCTCTGATCGGTGCAGCATTGCGGATTGCGTTTCTGGCAGTTACCTAGAGATAGAATTGAAACTAAAGTTCTTCCATAGCACTGTGGCTAGACTTTTCCATCTGATGAGGGGAGTTTTCTATGAGCTTCCAACGACTTGGAGGAAGATTTAGTCCCCGAATTCGTGCCTTTGGAGGGAGATGAGGAAGGAGTTGGTAGCTTCTTGGGCAGCATCTGTTGCCAACAGTCCTTAGGCAACCTTGATGCTTCTGAGAGAACAATGAAAGCAACAAGAGTGAAGAGCAAGCACTTGTGCCTCCAAGAACCTGACATGGTTGAATAATACTCTGGGAATTGACAGGCACTGTGCTACTTTAACATCCTAAGATGGCAGCTTTAGAGCATTGGTGGCAGCAGACAGGTTGAGTAATGTATGGAGACTGCCAACTTGATTGTTTGAGGAAAGTGTGCCAATGGCAGACAATAGGGTATTTGATAATTCTAAACCTCTTTGAGCAGCTCATGTTGTTGCTCTCATTGTGTACCAGAAGCAGAATCTGTTTGAGTGAGAAAGTGAGGAATTTGAGGGGTTCTTAAATAAAAAAAACATTCTTATTGGACCCCTCATTTTGGTTGGGTGTAAAATTAATTCTTCCATGTCTGGTAACAAATCCTTGTTGTCAGAGTTGTTCAAAGTGCTATAATTGGTAATGCCACTTGGACAATTTGTGACCTAACCAGAACAAGATCACCCAACTTACTCTGCTGAATTTATGTGGATGCATACATTGTCATGATGTATGATGCATTATGCATTGGTTTGGGCACAGAAATATGGTTAATCTTACTGATAATTTCTTTGTTAATTTTAAACAAATTAAATTCATTAATTTCTTTGTTGTCAATCAAGCAATGACAGTTAGACCATCATCAAACTAATTAAATTCACTGAGCTATGCATCATTCATGGAAATATAGATAATTTGTTGAAGCCATTTAAGCCTATGGTTGAGAACACCCAACCTAAAATTATAGCAGTATTGTTATTATTAAATTTCAATCATGCAAACATGAGGGAGAGAGTTTCCTTTTCATTTTCTCAGATTACTCACAGCCAAACAAACAAGCCTAGCTAATATAAAGTTGTTGAGTAAATTTTTAAAAGAGTTCAAAAGAAGCATCTTGACACTTTTGTATGCTATTTTGCCAACAAAGAAATATATTTACAACAAAAAGGTAATGGCCATCAATGGTGTCAGTGAGATATTAGTATATTTTTATGAAAAGGGTTGTGATTAGAGCACCACAATTTCCTAGTTAATGGTGCACCTTAGTTGAAGTTCAGTCAGACAAGCAAGCAACAGAAAACATTGAACAAACTAATCATACTCGAGTCAAAAGGTATAGTCCTGGCTTCCTCTAAAATTTAATGTTTGGAGGGCTTGTAACTCAAGTATTTAAAAGTATTTATTTGTGCATTTCAGGTTTTAGGGGCGATTTCCTTTCTCTCAATATCGCTTTGTATTTCTAAACAATTAGTAATTGAAAGTAATCACTATTTAAAACAAGAACTTCTAAGGTTGCTCACACTTCCAATTTGTCACTATAAAATTTATATATATATATATTAGTATGAATCACTCGCAAAATGAGCGTAGAATGACAAACTGAGTATAGATTACGATTATTTTTATCTTTCTAAAATGCTAAGAAATTTGTAGGCAGTCAGTCATATAGGGTGTGATGCCATTGCAGAGAAGCAGTCCCTATATAAAAGAAATTTGCAGCGCATGTGTGTGTGAGAATTATAAAATCGTAAAAGTTGGAAGAATGTCGGGTGAAGGATAATGTTTTAATTTATAATTTATATGCATGCAGGCTCATTCGAGACAAGAGGAGTTGGAAGGAGATGGACACTGTACTCTATCTCAAAGTGGTAGGGTCCATTCTCACTCAAACTACTGCACATGTCTTACTGCTCACTAATTTAATTTGGCCTAACTAATTAATTTCCAAATCATTTTTTTCCTCTGCCCTGATTTTTGTTGGATATTTGTCTGTGGGTTATATCTACTTATCTGCTCTCAAAACCGGTGTGAAAAAGGAGAAACATTTGTATTAAATGGAGATGCTATTCTCGGTTAATAACATTATGACACTCGTGATAACTTTTTCTCGTGCAAAACGGGGATGCTATTCTCGGCTAATAACGCTATTCTCGTCATTATTAGTCGAGATAGCAAAATAGTGTTATCCCCGTTGCAACCAAGTTTTTCTCATACAAAAGGGATATGCAAATAAGAAAATAAGTAATGCGGATACAAAGAAGTCAAATATAACACTATTTGTTTACAATGCTTTGCACGACCAAAGACAAACTCAAACACATTTAGATATAAATTCGGTTTTTTTGTTGCCATAACTCCGAACCTATACACTATATAAATTAGGTTTTTTTTGTTGCCATAACTCTTAATCTATACACTATATAAATTAGGTTTTTTAGTTGCCATAACTCCGAACCTATACGAAGGTCGTGGAAAATGCCAACACAATTTCATAACACCACCAACTAATTAACCTCTCCCAGCATGGAGATGCATTCTTGGGAGTAGAGTAAGGAAAGAGCAATAACATACCAAAAGACTACAATAAAAAGCGTTTGAGTAGTTGACTGCCATTTATACTCAGAACATTAAGATACAAAAATTCCAAGCCCAATCCCTCTATTGAAGGGGCACAAGTTCCCTTAGCAACTAGAAAAGGAGACGAGAACTTTATCGGGCATCTGAAAGAATAATCAATTATGTGAACTTTACATATTAACGTATTTCTTCAGTGTATAGTCCTTATAATTTAGTGCCTAAGCGAACAAAATAATACTTGAACTAACTATACTTCCAGCATTGACTAAGCCTTACCCAGTCAAAGACACAGATCGAAGCATTTAAGCAATTGCTGACAAAATTGTTTCTTTCTCTGCAGGACGCCAAAATGTCTTCTGAATGCATAGCAAACCCTCATTGTCTTTCGAATACGTGAATCGGATGTCCCACTGCAGAGATTTAGCCATGCTCTCGACCTCATTTAAGGTTTCAGCATTGTCCCATATGATTAGCTTCCCTTCTGGCCTAAGTATCCTATCAACTTCGGCAATCACTGCCACTAAGTTGCATCTGTTGCCAGAATACCATAAACACATTGTATCAGACGACATGTTTGGAGGTCTTTGTTGTGATTAAAACCGCAGTAAATGTGTTTTTATAAATAACCATAGGAAAATGCTTCATTACATACCTTTTTTTAAGGACGGAGAATAGATGATCTGCATGTAGAAGATCATAAGTTCTGGGGTAGGTACTGAACGACTCACACCAATCATGATATATCCCAGTTAAACCACGCTCAAAAATTATTGGTAGTGTGTCACGGGAGTCAACTGGGACTACATTCATAACCCATACTTTCAAGTCTTTTAGTGCTGCAGCAAAACTAAAAGCATTGCCAAAAAAAGTCAGACTATGTGAAAGATTTCAAAATTCTTTACTACACTGGAAAAAAGAAACATTTGCACAAGAGAAATAAGAATAACAAAACGAAGCTGAAAAGGGGATCATTATTTTTTGGAAAGAATATGACATGCAATTTGTAATGATCCGAACTTTTCGACCGTGTGTTCCATCTAAGGCCATCAATATTTTTCACCTTAAGCCACTAAGATGTTCAAAATATAAAGCATTAATAATACTAAACTCAACTTTTTGTAATCGGCAGTAGTCATTAGGTATATATGGAAACAATAATTTCAATCAAAGCAACAGAAAAGAAGAGGGGGTGTGGAATAGCAGAAAGAGGGTGACCTGGGTGGTTTAAGGTAGTGATGGGAAAAAGAAATTAAAAGATTAATAATTGCTTACCCTCCGTATACAGCTCTCATGTCCATGACATTCCTTACAGAAGACCAGTTGATTCCCATCCCATTCAAATATGTCTCGGAAACAACTTTTTTCCAATGCTTGTATTCAGAAATGAAATCCTCTGGGGCAGATTTTCCATCAACATCAAGCTGAGACTTTAACCAGTATGGTGGTTTTTCCAACCTTAATGGCCATTTCGGAGGCCACTGAGACCCACGGTTTAAGACATCCTCCGGCACTTTGTGCATGCATGCCTCTAGTGAAACATTCCTGATGATGCAGAAATAAAATGGAGCACTTAACAGAGTTGGAAATTTAACTCATGGAGAATACTATAAAGGAACTTTTAACTACATATAGGTATTCAAAGATGTGAAGTATTTTCTGAGCCACATTTAACAATGTTTAGCAGGCCAACTTAGAATAAAGGCGGACTTGAAAACTATAGTGGCATCAATTTCTATTTATTTCTGTTCATATGAAAACTTATGACCTAGATTTTATTTAACAACTCAGAAATTATGAAAAGGGAAGATGCTATCAATCAAAGTTCTTTCAGTTCAACATGTTAGTCACTCTCACAAGGGCAAGTACAACTTAAAGATTTGGAATGATATTTATGCATCTCAAGTTCACGACATTGGAGAATTTTCTGCACTACAAAATCCTTTTGTTTTTCACACTGCAAAATCCTTCAAATTGCTAATGAATTTTCAAGGCATACACAAAACCCAAAACGTAAAACTTCATATAAAAATTCAGGTTTGAAAACAAAAACTTATTGCCAGAAAGACACTCCAAATATGGTCCTAGTAAGCGACATATGAGTCACAATTGCTTAGCTTAGAGCAAATTGGTTATATACATATAACAAGACTAACATATAACCTGATGCCTAAAAGAAATTTAAAATCTTCAATGCACTTGGCAATAAAGGAAACTGATTCACGTAAATAACCTGATATGGCACAAATTACTTAAAAACAGTTAGTACATTATTAAATTATATTTATAGCACCATTTAAGAAATAAATATTGATACCTATAAGTAGTTGTCTTCATAGCGAATTTATATTAGTTACCAAACATTACTATACAGACAACAGAAGAAAAAGAAAAATATCAGTACTCTTCTAAAATCTGATATGGCAAATGTTATTGAGATCCAAAATCATTTTATTTTACCAATGCCTCATATCGAGTAGCAAACGTACACATTAGGTAATCTAGTATTTATTTTTGGCACTATATGAATTATCATTGTAATAAAAATGTCCATACGAAAACTTTTTTCTGATTATTTTTTATCTTTCTTTGATGTCACTTCCAATTTCCGTACTAGCGGTCACCAATAACAAACACAGAGAAATGCCAATACTTCAATATTTGGGCAAAAAGGTAAAGTACCAGCTAGTATTTGGATCATCAGATTCACTGCATAGAGGAGGGTCATTGCGTGCTCTTTTATTGTAGCACTCATTGGTAGAAGGTTTTCTATATATGGCAGCAGCCACTGCATTGAGTCTGTCCTTTTCAATCACCAACAGATCCCAGCACATTGACTTTGTTAATTTAGACATCGCTGCCAATAATAACCATGAGAGAGAGAGAGAGAGGGAGAGTGAGAATATGTTAGATAGGATCAACCAAAACATACAACTCGCTTCAGAGGGAGGGAAAAAGGGAGAGAGAAAAAGGAAGTATTCTACCTTTCCAAATGCCGACATCTTCAGGAAGCTTTTGGTAAACAGGAGTAGCAGACCAGACAAAGTAACCACCAGGTCGCAAGACACGATTAAGCTCCAGGAGAAGTTTACCACCTGCAATGTAACTCGAATTATATCTCCAGAACAATGCAGACTTAGAAAATAAATAAATAAATTGCAAACATTACCTTCAATATGCCAAGGGACTCTACAGCGTGCACAGTGGACAAGATCAAACACAGAACTTGGAAAGGGTAGTCTTTTGGTACCCATAACAGCTGATATGGCAGGGATTCCCCGTTCTAGTGCAAATTGTACTTGGGCTTCGTGCTCATCCTTGGGGGCAAATGACATAGCAAGAACATCTCTATCAAATAGAAAACCTCCGAAGCTGGCTACACCACACCCAACATCTAATATCACACGGCTTCTTTTACCCCATGCAATATCAGGAAGAGACTGCATAGCAAAAATGAAATATACATTTTTAGCATTGGAAAAAAAACACAAAAGTTCCACCAAAAGATAATGCTTTTTTTTATAATTAGACTGAAACTCCGGACCAGTAAGATAATAATGCTGAATACTAGAGTTTTCTTACAAAAGGAACCACAAAATAAAATAAACATATAAGATCAAGTGAGGCACAATTGAATATTTTTAGACAAATATAATCAAGGTCATACAAATATATTGCTTCCTAAAGAACAGGACTTCGCATGAAGCATGGCAAAATGAATACAATGAAATGGACAAGTTGCACGAATGAAGAAATGAAATCAGATGGAACTGCATCCCATAATTCAAACCCACTATTTGGTAATTGTATAAAGAAAATATAATTTCAAAATTAGTATTTCTTATGAGTTTCCTTTATTTTTCACTCATTCAAATAAAGCTTTTATAACATAGGTTTTGATAGATATTCATGCGCTAAACAAAGTACGTAAATAGAACATATGGAAAGTAACACAAAGGACTAGAGCACACCCACACAGAATCACATAGACACATTCCCAGTCCTGCATACAGGAAAAAAAGGATAATAATAGTTTACATTCAGCAAAAAGCCATTAACCAAACCCTGAAAACTGTCCCTATGCCTACAATACAAACATTAATAGGAACAAGTTTGAATGAACACAGGTGCATCCTGAATCACTGATCAATTGGTACGACACATTAAGTGTCATGCACAATGTAATATCCTTATCGCCCTACCGCAATACAACTATTACTTGGCGCTGTAAGTGGAATCAGAAATGATATTCCCTTCCCATAAAATTTCTGAAAATATATTTCGGCAAACCAATGTATGACCGGATCTGGAAAATAAGATGATATAACAATAGGACTTACTTTTTGGATAAAATCAATGTAATGAAGAGCACCATTCTTAAACTGAGTTCCACCACCAGGAAATGTGAGGTATTCACCGGTAACTTTAACCCAATTTTGGTGCCCTTTAACTACTGCGAGCTTGGTGTGAGGAACATTGTGGTACCATATCTGCATCATGCACCAAGAACATATTTCAATTGCAAGGATTAAAAAGAGGTAATTGTTATTGTTTTACTAGACAGCTGATATACCTTTTCCCTGCTTGTAGGCCACTGAATGGAGCGTTTATATCCTTCTGGAAGAGGAACAAGACAGGTCAAGGCTTCATCAGGGCAGTGCCTCTCTCGATGTTCATAGTGCATTGTACTTGGAAGCTTCCTGATAGAACCCCAATTGTCAAGACAAGGGATGTAGTCTGGCCCAGCAGTGACATCACAGAGTTTCCACTTCCACTCATGCCCACTCTTATGTTCAGATAAGGAAGATTGTTGTGTTTCTTTCTCATTCTGCGACTCCACGACTTCAGTTGACCCTTGCTCATTTTCAGCTGTAGTTTCCTGGCTTTCTATGTTATTACTATCACTTTCTTCTGAATGAATGTCTTGATATTTCTCAACATTTTCCTTCTCAGTCTGAATAGTCACTTCATCTTCCTGCTTTATTCCATCAGAAGTCTCGTCTCCATCCAATTTTTTCTCCCCCTCTTGGAAGTCAGATGTATTTCCAACTTCTGAATTGGACTCCCCATCTCCTGAACTAGCTTCATGATCATTTGTTTTCCCATCCCCATCATTTTCAGCCTCTGTCTTTGTTTGCTCTTCAGTCTCGAGTTTCTCATCAGATTTCTCCTCTACAAGCTTCTCTTGCTGATTTCCCTCAACACCATTCTCACTTTCTGGCTCAGTCCTCACCTCAGATTCCTCCTTTGAAACCAATTCTTCCTGTTTTTCTTCAGTTGTATTTACAGAAACATCCTCTGCAACATTCTGAGCATTCTTAATATCCAAATGGCTTTCACTCGGTAAATCATTGCCATTGTCATCTCCTTTTATTACAGTTTCTGGTAATTCACCTGAACTGTCTTCGAATTGCTTGGAATCTTTATCAGTTGTTGTTTGCCGTTTTACCTCATTTACGGTCTCCTCAGATGATGAGTCTTGATTCTGAATTGGAACAACGGTTGACATTAACATCCAGACCCCAACTAAACAAAATGCAACAAATACAACTAGACTGGTCGTCGAACAACAATTCAATGACCTCCTTCCGTCAACTCGAGAATACTTCCCCACAGCCATCTTTATGAGGTGAAAATTGATATCCCAAATAACAAACACACCTGACAAGGGCAATAACAAAACAAACTCAGCTATCCATGATGTTTGTATCTTCAAGCTTGTTTTCTGGAAATTGTTAAGGAAAAAGTGTTTGAACCCTCATGTGGCAGCATAATTTTGCACTTATTTTTATCTTAATGATTTAATCACAAACGCAAAAAGAGTAATATAAAAAAACTGTTTTTGAATGAATAAAGGAACCGACAGGCCTTGCACTGCTAAAAGAACACCAATATACAAAATATATAAGAAAAAGGGCATCCTTGCTAATTTTGATATACAAGAGTAGTAGTGGTAGTGTGTATCATGTCAAATTACGGCTCTGATAGTTTTTCTCTGGGCATAACGAAGGTGATACCTTTTCCTCAAGTAGATTGACAAGGAATAGCAAATTGGATCATAGAATAGGGTAAAGAGAGCTCAACTTTGTTCCAAAGAAAGCAGATCGATCAATTAACAAAGAACAAAGACATTTCAGAGTAAAAGATCAACTTTTTTCTGTTGAATTCCATAACGCAACAAGAATATCCTCAAAAACATATTTTTACAAAAAGTGATTATAACCCATTTCATAACGCAATAAACCCAACAAACAGAAAACGAGAGTGGGGGCTCAATAATAAGAACAATGCACTGTTTGGTTGGTGCGAAAGTGCAGAAAAATAAAAGAGAACTGAAACAACTACATGCTGGGAATATGTAAAAGATAGAAACTTGGAGGTCTCTTGGCATTGATTCATTAAACAAAAGAGTACTTCGGTCATGCAAGAAAACGAAGATCTGATCAAATAATGACAAGGGGCAGAGTATCTGAGACAGAGAGTGAGATTTTTCTTACTTGGCTCAGTGGCTGGGAGAAGTGTCGGGTCCTCCTTTTGCTTACTCCATAGTACTGATTGCCTCCTACTTGAAGAGAGAGCTTGGTTGGGTCAGTGGGTCTTTATAATGCTCCCACTACTCTTCCATTTCGAGAGATCAATTGTATTTAGCATAAATTTGCATATTGCATTGCATTTATTAAAGAATGAAAAATATCTCAGAGAGAGAGAGAGAGAGAGAGAGATCTACTTCTATTTCTATAGCCTTTTTATGGGATCTGCAGTCTCCACTCCAGCTAAGGTTAAGTTGGAAACCAATGAGCCAATAAAGTCCAAGCAAGCAGATTCATAGATAGAAGGGCGGTGATCTACCATAATTTTTTCTATTTCTTATAGAAAAATATAAAAAAGATAAATTCATTTCAATAAGTTTCTTTTTCCCAACTAAATGAAAGTAAAAGAAAAATTAAATAGAAGGAATTCGCACTCATGACTGTATATGAAAGTTAAATATGGTTCTAAAATTGTGAAAGTAAGAATTTTCTTGACTTTGCTATGTTTTATGCGGGATCTATTTGTATTAGAGGTGTGGTTAATAAATGTGGTATAAATAATATTTTTCGCTTTCTAATACCGCTTGCATAAAAAAAAATTAAAACAAATCTCCTCCAAATATATCAGAAAATTAAAAAAAAACTGTCCTACAATCCCCTTAGCAGTGTGCTTAATTCAAAAATACTATTTCTTAACTAAAGAATATTTGCAACAATTTTGTTTTTCAAATTAATTATATTTTAAACAAAATACTGGTGGGACTCTTTGTTGTGACAATGAATTGACAAAATAAAATCTGATTCCATTGCAATCCATGTGCTTATAATTCGTTTTAGCACCGACACATGCTATAGGAGGGTCTCACACACAAAGTCGCTTTTGGGATGAAATTGACCAAACTAATGAGAACGTGGGCCTTGGGGCCACCTTATCAAAAAAATACCCCACTGTGATGGCGTCATGATGCAATCTCAACCGTGCATGCATAATAAGCCGACACAGCCTTGTGCTCAACAACGGCTGAGATTGAGCCATCGCCGAACGTATTTACATTCGCTTCCAAGGCATTATTAGAGTATCCGCAATAGTTTAATTTATTGAATTTTTTTGGCTAATTGCAGTAGTACAGTTCAATAACTTCTAAATTAAAAATTATTGTAGTCCAACTTTCAGTAAGAGAGAGGCTGTAAAGTTATTATGGTGGGCTAGCTTATTTAAATGAATTTCATTTCATTGTTCATTTTATTGACCTCTGAAATGAACTGAATTTTACCACTGCAAATCAAAAGTTCAATTTATTGAAATAAAATTGAAATGACCCTCACCATTGCGGATGCTCTTAAGTGAAGCGAGTTTGGGCTAAATATGAGTATTACTTTTGCATTTTAATATTGGGTTTTTGCTTAAGTGTAGACTATTTGCTTAAATGGCGTATATCTTTTAAAAACTAGGGTTTATGAGATGTGTATTTCTATAATGTATTAGAGTGTATCAAGGATATTTTTTGTGGTTAAATAAGATGTATTTAATTAATTTTACATTTTGATTTAAATATTATAGTGTACTTAGATCATAAGGTGTATTAAGTTAATTTTAAAGTTCGTTTAACAACACCCATAACATATCATATGTTGTGCGGGCCATAAATATTCTAGCCCGAAAAGAAAAAGCAAATAACAAATGATTCCAAATACAGCGGCCTACTATATTTCCAAATAACAATTACTTGAGTAATTTCTTTCCAACTCATCATTCGTCATATTCTTTCTCCATCTATTAATTAAAATTGCAGTGTTTGAGAGCTACATATATCTGTCCTTTCTTCTCCAAATTGTTCAACAAAAAACAGGATGTTATGAGCTGCATGCAATATCTTCTAACATATTTATAGGTATTCTTTGTACCATCTGTATATCCTCACTCCACCATGCTTTCTGTTTGTGGTCCTTCTTGGGGCTTTTCTGTTTGGCCTTTTCATGCTTCCTGGCAGCCATTTTCTTCTTCCTAGCAGCTTTTCTCACCTTGGCTTCTTTCTGCAAAACCCAATAATATTACGATCAACTAAATTTAAAAGCTAATAAAAATACTTATAGACATGCAAATAATTGAATTTATCTTCACAACTCAACAACTCTCCTCCATCAAAAATCTGCTATGTCTACACAAGCTTCTTTGATTCATGGTCTAGCTGAGGGAGTAAACATTGATTTCTTATCTAAATCCGTTTCTGAAAGTTCTAATGCAAATGATGTATTAATTTATGAAGATAAAGAACCTTCAGAATTGGAAAAATGATTAGTAGAATTTCTTGATCTCTTGGATGTTCTTTCATTAAGGACTTGTTGTCCAAGTTATGTTAGGATAGATAATTAGTTTTTTTTTCTTTTATTTTTTCTCTTGTTGGCCGTGATATATAAGGATATAAAGGGCTTTGCTATTTTTCATTTTAATTTTTATTATGAGTTTGAGGATCTAATTTTCTTAGCTAGGGTTAAGATGTAGCCTAATTATGAATGCTCAATTTTTTTAGTTAATATAAATTTCAAGTTTTTTCCTTTTTATTGAGTATGTTTTACCGTGCTTAATGTTTAATTTGATTTAGAGGGGCCTAATCACTATTTTTAAGTTGAATTAGTGTGATGCAATGCAAATTAGAGTAAATGCCATAATTAACTTGAGTTTTGAACTCACGTCTGCAATCTTCAACCAAACATTCTCCCTAAGTCTGCAATCACATATGTTAAACAACAACCTTCACCCTATGATTATGCTCGCAGAAGTATTCTGATAGCAGTATTATAAGGAAATGAGAGAGAGAGAGAGAGAGAGAGAGAGAGAGAGAGAGAGAGAGAGAGAGAGAGAGAGAGAGAGAGAGAGAGAGAGAGAGAGAGAGAGAGAGAGAGAGAGAGAGAGAGAGAGAGAGAGAGAGAGAGAGAGAGAGAGAGAGAGAGAGAGAGAGAGAGAGAGAGAGAGAGAGAGAGAGAGAGAGAGAGAGAGAGAGAGAGAGAGAGAGAGAGAGAGAGAGAGAGAGAGAGAGAGAGAGAGAGAGAGAGAGAGAGAGAGAGAGAGAGAGAGAGAGAGAGAGAGAGAGAGAGAGAGAGAGAGAGAGAGAGAGAGAGAGAGAGAGAGAGAGAGAGAGAGAGAGAGAGAGAGAGAGAGAGAGAGAGAGAGAGAGAGAGAGAGAGAGAGAGAGAGAGAGAGAGAGAGAGAGAGAGAGAGAGAGAGAGAGAGAGAGAGAGAGAGAGAGAGAGAGAGAGAGAGAGAGAGAGAGAGAGAGAGAGAGAGAGAGAGAGAGAGAGAGAGAGAGAGAGAGAGAGAGAGAGAGAGAGAGAGAGAGAGAGAGAGAGAGAGAGAGAGAGAGAGAGAGAGGTGTCTGCTGGGTATTATGTGGATGAACATACGTCAAATAATCACATTAGGGGATAGATGGGTACATCGTGTGGATGCATGTGGCACCCATCCAAAGCCACGCAACCACATTATCCACACTGGTTAAATCAAAAGATCAAGCTGCTGGTGACGTGTCACAAAGTTGGACAGTTCACTTTTTAAAAATAAAACCAATTCAAGAAAATAAAGAAAAAAGGAGAAAAGAAAAATATGCGGTGGGAGGGGCTTGACATAGATTTTGGACTTTTGGTATATGAAAATCAGAATATCACAAATTCACAGTCCACATGACCACCAGCTATGAACAACAATCCTCCACATATTCTCCTTTCTCTTTCTTTTCCCCCTCTCTAACTCAACCACAGAGAGAGAACAAAACAATGGTTGCAGGTGAAAGATGAAGAGGGGCAAAACAGGGTTATGCATCTTCCATGGCCTGTCATTGTGCTTATTATGTATTTCCACCATCACCACTAAGGAAGAACTTCTACAAGACCACTATTCTTCTCTCATCAAAAAGACCCAAGTCTCTTTTGCTTTCTGCCATCAGCAACAATAGAGACTCTTACAATTCTTTGGTTTCTGAGGTAGCATTGCCCTCTCCTTTTGTTTCTCTATCTCTTCATTATGCAATTTGTAATATTTATTTAGGCATTGCCTCCTTTGAGTTATATAAAGGGATTATCTGTTAAGGGATTGTTTAAAATTTTGAAATTTTTCGATAATTTAATCAAGTGAGTTATGTCCTAGCCAAGGAGTTGCTTTTAGCCACCAGAATTTTGTTATATTTTAAAAAGATGATGTTTTTGTTCAATGCAGTTATTCTCATGAGAAGTTCATAGACTTTTGAGTTCCAGCAGCCCCCATATGGCATCTTTCCATTGAGTTGGGTTGTAATTTGTAGAAAATGCCTCTCTGTTGTAGAAAGTTCTCCCTATGATTTTGAGTATACTGCTCTGCTAGGGTCATTCATTTTTCAGAATAATGATTTTGTCCTAGCACAATGGGAAACTTCACATGACATTTTAGGATATATTATAAGATCTCAACCGTGTGATTGTTGAATACTTATGTTACGCATGACATCTTAGCTGTTCTGCATCCTCTCACTTTTGACATTGAGTTCATGAAATGCCAAATGAACATTTTATATTCTTGTTTGCAGGCTATTAGTCTTTTGGGTCCAGCAACGTTCGACGCTTCAAAGCTCAAAGTTGAATTTATAGGAGAAGAGTTCAATGATTATGTAGGAATCATCCCAAGAACTTACATCCTATCACATTGTGACTTCACAGCTAACCTAACCTTAACGATCTCCAATGTCATCAACCTTGATCAGGTCTGTTTTCTATTTTATTTCTTCTGATGCTTCTAAAGTTTTTCTTTCATGATACCTATCTATGCTAGGATTGAAAAAGTTTCAATGTGATTGGTTGCATCTGATAGTCCATTTGGTGTTTACGATTGCGATTTTGATCCTTATTGCAGTTAAAAGGATGGTACAGCAAGGATGACGTGGTTGCAGAATGGAAACGGGTGAATGGTGAAATGTGCCTACATATTCATTGCTATGTGAGCGGTCCCAATCTCATGCTGGACCTGGCCGCAGAGTTTAGATATCACATATTTTCCAAAGAAATGCCTTTGGTAAGCGTTTCTTCTAAGACTACTATGATCTCCTCTCCTATTTGCAAAAGGGAATAATTAGGAAACTGAGGTGCTTGAGAAGGTAACTCTAAGAGGCCTATATGATATGAACACTTCCATGGCCATGCATAGTCATATACGTTGCACAGCCAACACATTAGAAAACACAAGCCAAATAATGTTAGATACACAGATACCATTTAGCAATGTCGCAATTCTCATACAAAATATCATGAAAGGGGTGATATTACACTAAAGACGGCCTTGTGTCTGAGATTTTGCTTGACTTTATTAGGTACTTTGGCATGCCTGAGATGGTTGAATGAATGTTGCGTTACTTAAATATTTCCTACTTTTGGTTTCTATACAAGCAGGTACTCAAAGCTGTGTTACATGGAGACTCTCTACTTTTCAGAGAGCATCCCGAGCTATTGGATGCCTTGGTTCGGGTTTATTTTCATTCCAATTTGAAGAAGTACAATAGAATTGAATGCTGGGGGCCTCTCAAGGATGCTGTAGAGGTAAAACTCAACATGTGCATGCATAACCACACTTAGGCACTTAAATCTGCATGTTGCTACTTTCAAGATTGCTTGCTAATTGTCATGTGAGTCACCATATGTTACTATGTGAAGACTTGTTATCAACTTCAGTCATTACATGTCGTTGTCCCGAAAAATATAGGAGAATTACATATTTTAGGTTCATATGATTCCTTAATTTTCATTTGAACAAGAGTTTTATTTCAGGGAAGACAAGGGGATCATACCAAAGGAATAACTGCACACATGGATTCTTCCCATCCTCGGGACAAGCAGAGAACGCCAAAATCAATATTTCAAGTTCTATTTGCATTCCTTCTTTGATTCTTTGAAGTCAATAACTGCACATATGGATTCTTCCCATCCTCGGGACAAGCAGGGAACGCCAAAATCCATATTTCAAGTTCTATTTGCATTCCTCCTTTGATTCTTTGAAGTCTATTGCGTATTATGATCTCGAAGTTTTTTAATACCTTCGAGGCTTGTCAACTTCAACAGCTAACGCCAGAGGCAGTGAAGGAATCAGCTTTCATGTGTAAAGTTCAAATAATTCTTTGGGAAGACGCAAAAAGGGAAAAAAAATCAGGTTGATGTAAAACAAGGACTGTTTGGGGTTCATAAAACTGATTCACAATTTTTCTGTGACTAAGACCAATTTGTTCATGCGTTAATCAATGGCTAATGTCTTTGTTGCTTGACATGTCTTTTGCTTCTATTGTTTACATGCATTCCACTCTATTTTTTCTATTACTAATGCAGAGATCAATTCATATAAAATCTCATTGTAAACCAGTGGCGCGGAGCCACTCTTAGAGTGCCCTTGGCCCCCAGGTTTTTGACATCTCTCATCTACTATATGATAAATATGTTCTAACATAGACGTAATGGCTCCTCTAAAACAAATTAAACATGACTAAATTAGAAATATTTAACACTAACATGTAAATCTTGAATCAATATGTATTTGATATACTCGTATTTTCGACAATCTAACCTTACATTTTAACTCCGCCCTGATGTAAATGTACCAACAGTTTACTAGAATGAGGCGTCAAGCATAGCGTTTGAGTTTGTTCATGTCTCCCAACTCCATGTGACTCGTGAGTCCACTTTGACTGTAGACAGTCCAATTTCACTTAAACCTCTCTTCTAGATCTCTGAAAACTCAAGATCCAAATAAATTCTGGAATTCAGTGGGCCTAGGCCCAGCAAAATTATTGCTTTTTTTTTTGGACACAAGCAAAATTAAAGAAGGGGATTTCAAACACAAGACACAAGACTTTGGGTGTAGCACTGTTCAATCCCCTCGTAACTTCTCGTTATTGTTAAAAGCGAAAATCCCCCACAATTCACTACTCGCTAAACAACAAAATCACTATTTTGAGCAAAACATGGAAGCTGTGTTGTAGGTAAAGTGCATGAAATGAAAGTGGGACGAAGGTTCCTACTCTCCCCCAAAAGATGTAATATTGGATATCTCTAGCTAGCGCAAGCTACTTCTCATGCAACTCTCTCTTCCTCTCTCACTCTCTAAATACTAGATACACACACATGCAGAGGCTCATCTCATTGGCACATGTATGCAGTACATAGTAACGTGGAGATGGAGAGGAAGACGACCATGAAGACTATGCATCATATCGGCGCAGAGTTGGAAGCAGTGTCGAGAGTCGTCGGATTAGGAAGGAGCTCCAAGAGATACTGCCTAGTCCCTCCTAGAGGAAGGATCAAGCGTAAGATTCTTGCCCTTCTATTCAAAAGATTGAAGCTTGCAACCCAACATTCATGTACGTAATTCCTCATACTGAACTTGGAAGGCACAAGTATGGTATGGTATTAAAATACTTGTATATATATGTTTGTGGAGAATTTTCTAGTAAGGATGCCCTTATTTAAAATAAATAAATAAAACGGGGATCCTTTCTAGATAGAGCTACTACGCAAAGCATTCAACGATGAGAACCATTTGTATCCTTCGTAAGATGGTTTTCAATATGTTATATATGATGCAATGTCATTCAAAATGGCCAGTTGTATTTCTATTGCTTTAATTACCTTTTAAGAATTTTAAGTTAATTCATATTTGTTTTTAAAATTTCACCTTTCCCTCCCTCTTCTCTCAACTTCATCACAACAACAACCATCATATGCTGCGGTGCCCCACCAGCGTCACTTTGGACTATCACTCGTCACGAAGGGAACAAAGCCTCATTTCGGAAAAACAAAACTTTCTTGTAACAGGAATAACACTGTTTTGCTATCCTCGACCGATGATACAATGACAAGTGGAAAAGTTATTCCATGTGTCATTGTCTTATTAGTTGGGGATAGCAAAAAATGTTATCCTTGCATGAGAGTTTCTCTCCTCACCTAGGAATGGGCAACCGAACATACGTTGACGAAGCCTCACCCAATCGACATCGGTGTAAGTGTAATAAAGAAATGCAACACTCACAACAGAGTTACACCATGAAAATGAGCTAGCTATAATTAAGTATTGAACTAATGACAAACATATCATACTTGCCCATGTGATTCGAACTTGAGACCTCCTCCAACCAAATGGAGACAACTACCACTAGACAAAATGATAGTTAGCATATAAATTTGACTTTAAGGAACTTGCAAGATAAGTGTATCCAAACTAAATTGTTTTCTTTAGTTTGTTGGCGTTATCCAAGTTGCAGTGCAAGCAAATGATATATGTTGCTTCTCTGCTCGTCTTTCCCTCATCTTATTTATCACTTTATTGGACCAATTAATTAATTATTTTTTGGTTGTATTTACATTAGATGGAATGGAAACCCCCTCAACCTCTTTCAATTCTCTCTGATCATTTTGTCACAAGCACTCACCATTTGGGCTAACCCAAAAGGCACTAATTAGAAAATATTTTATCCTAAAAAGAATTGCTAAGTTTTCGGTGATCGTATGGTGTCTCTAAGCTTATGAATTTAAATTTATTTGAATATATATATATGGTAAAATCTGTGAAAGGATTTAAACGTTAGAGTTATGGATATCTTCAACTTGAAAACAGTAAAGATCTGAAACAAGGTAAAAGCAATGGCGGACAATTATTTGAGAGTAGTTATGATGATAATGTTAGGATTGATGGGTCTTCTCCAAATTGTAGTAGAAGCAAAAGATGTTCTGTCTCCCTCGTCTCTTCCTCCACCTCCCTCTGAAATTCTTCCACTCTCATCAAATGATAATTTTATGCCGAAAATTGTCAAGTATCTACCTCCAAAAAATCTGAAGTGTGTTGTCTATACAGTTCCCAGACTTTGTCATGAACATATTAAAGCGTTCGGAAGTTTCCTGGAATGCATGAAATATACGATCCCAGCCTGTCTTACTCCTCCTACAAGTGTACACAAAAAGAAACTGTAGCCCTATCCTTAGAGAGCTATTAGAAGTTCATGAGCACTTTGGTAATAAAAAATAAAAAATCGTAAATTTCCCTTTGCTAATCTATTTGAAGAGGTAAAATGGTGAAATAAATCAACCAGTAGTTTTTGCTTTTTTATTTTTGTTAAAAATGTTGCAAATTACGCAACGAAAGAAACGAAATAGGGTTTGACCAATTAACTCATCTTTTGTCATGATTAATGAGTTTTATTTCCTTTCACATAAACTGGATGAATTTTTGGGGACTAGGGTGTGATCGCTATCCTCATATGCTTACTTTCATACAAGCATGCAATCATAAATTTCCATTGTCTATAATTTTTTGGCAGGTGCAGATCTGGTGGAAGGCTTTATGAATGGCAATTTGGTAGAGGAGTGCAAAGAATTATAGTTTTTTTTTTTCCAGGTGCAAGAGAATTATAGTAACATTATTGGACTTCTTGTTACAAAATCTTCATTTGTAATAGTTAGGTGTAAATTAAAGAAATGAGAGCACAATATATACATCAAATCATATCAACAAGACACATACATATATATAGAGTAGCATGGTACGTAGCAAATTAGTAATTAATACACACATAGCATTAAGGTAAACAATAGCAATACCGGTATACTTTACATTTAAGCCATTATTATTTGGTAATAATTTATCAAGTCTTGGACTGGTCTTATTGGACTGGAAATTCTAAGCACCCGAAATCTCTGAAGTGGTATGCTCCAATTTAGAGATGAACATGGATCAATGCAGAGTCGGCGCTACGTTATTGACCTCCCGCATAAATTACCTATAAAAAGATTGTAGAAGTATATTGAGAGAGAGAGAGAGAGAGAACAAAACGTCACATGAACATATATTGTAAATCAAGTTTTTCAGAAGTTGGTTTACAAATTTAAAGTATAACGATATTGGTTGGCATGCAGGCCCTACCTTTTATTTTGTCTGACCCATTTCATTGTACAAAACGTCAATGACCTATAAAATAACAAAGCGTCAGTTACTGAATATATGAGAACGGGGAGGCAAGAGCGAGCGCATATTAGAAGAAGAAACTAAGCAAAGCATAACAAAGAGTTATCACCTGGTAAATAAGGTAGATCATCCCGGGACAGAATATTGAGCGGAGAAGATGAGGGTTGAACGATCCATTCGTTACACGATCACAATCTTTCCCCAGACCACCCAGATTCAATTTTGTAGTGATAACTGATTTCAGAGATGTGCTGAACTTTGGCAGATCCAAGCTTCCTTCTCCACGTATTCGCTCTACGATTTCGTTGGGAACATTTACCAGATCGAAAGTGTGGAGACATGTAAGGTGTTCAATTCCATTAGGCAATTGCTCTAACTTCATGAATTCAGTAATTACCATTGTCTGTAATGCAGACATCACTGAAGGAAGTTGAGGTTCCACCTCAAAACCAATTGGCAATGGGGGGAGTAGCTCAACTCCTTATAAGCCCTTGCTAGGTTTCTCAACTTTCCAATATGGGACTCTTTACCTTTACTTTCTTAAGATCCCTAGCAAAATGGATTCAAGCTTTGGTGGGCAACAGTTGTTAGGCCAGCTAGAGAAAGCTTTTTTGGAAAAAAGAGCCCAAGCTGCCTTCTCATTAAGAGGCTGAACATGGTGAACATGACTTCCAGCCTCAAATGGAAAAGAAGCAATGTCTTCGTTTCGAGTTGTAAGCATAACTCAGCTTCCATAGGCTCCATCTGGAAGTGCTACGTGGATTTGACTCCAAAGGTATATATTCCACACATCATCTAACACAATCATATACCTCTTTGGCTGCAAATAGTTGGCCACCATTGACACCAGATGCATGTTGCTCATATTGCTCAAGTCTTGAGAAACATCTTCCATTGCTGATTTAGAAAGTTCTTGCTAAAATATGAATATGGTTTGAATGTATTAGGTAAACTTTATTCTTCTCCACAAGGAGGTATATATATGCGTTTACAGAGTGCTTTACAAGGAATGATATATAGTAAAGAATTAGGAAAGTATCTCCTAATTATACAAAGATTTGTCAACTAAATAGAATGGGAAAATAAATCCCTTAATTAATCAAGGAAGTAAATCTCCTTGATTAATTAGGAGACTCACGTCAACACTCCTCCTCAAGTTGGTGCATATACGTCACCAATGTCCAACTTGGTAAGTGAGTCATGAAATACTCGGCTACAAACAGCTTTTGTTAAAATACCGGCCAGTTGATCTTCTGATTTTACAAATGGTAGGCGGATGATCTTCTTCTCAATTTTCTCTTTGATAAAAT